CAGAGCTCGCAGTCGTACAATAGTACATGAGTAGATGAGTTCTGGGTATGTTGATTAAGGGCTTCCTGGCTGCTGAATGATCGGTTGCAGAGCTCATAGTCATATGATGGTACATGAGCAGGTGAATCCTGGGTATGTTGATTAAGAGCTTCCTGGCTGCCGAACGACCGGCTGCAGAACTCACACCTCAGCATCTGGGTCGTTATATATTAAGTTGACCTACAATATTTAACTTAATGTTTTGGACTGTGGAATCGGTCTTAACACAATGAATATTCAGTCCGGATTACCCCGCTTTGTACTATACGTATCCCAGGATAAAAGCAAAAGCAAGGCTGCCCAATCACCAAACCCTCCAATCACTCTATTGTAACCAAAAATAGAAACAAAAAAAAGCTTAGAAAAGCACAAGCTGGTAGCGTACTGAAATTATCGCTGCATATACTGTGGCATCTATCTGCCCTCAACCACAGAACTTGGCTGTTGTTCTATATTAATGCCCGCATTTCGAAAATGTCCCTTTGCACTCTGCTTCCTTGCACCCACTTTTTCAACACACCACCTAAGAAGGTTATTAAATCCTTGATCAGGGTTATCCTATATGATTGCCAGTGATGTCGTATAAAGGCTTTCAACTCAGCAAAGAACTCCTTAATTGGATTTAAATCTGGAGAGTATAGCGGTAAATATACAAGCTTGACACCAGCTTTTAAACACATCGCTTCAATTTTTTCAGAATGGTGAAAAGAATCATTGTCCATAAAAAGAATAGACTTTGGCTCTGGCCATTTACCACAATAATGAAGTAGCTCTTCAATAAAGTCTTTGAAGAATGAGGCGTCAGTGGAGCCTTTAAAGACACGTGACATGATAACTCCATCCTGAGCATATGCTGGCAGGATTTGGTAACGTTGATCACGACAAAATTTGGTTACCTGAGATGGCGCTATGCCCAGAGGTGACCACCCTGTTCTCCTAAAGCCAACCCTCTTATCACATCCCGATTCATCCACATATACTAGGTGATATGATCGAAAATCAAATATGAAGTGCATATATATGTCCCGTAAATCAAGATTTCTCTGGCTAGCTTTCTGTTTGGTTGTCTTTTTGGACCAGCCCGCACATTTTAGAGCATGACTAATAATATCTTTCTTCACTTGTACGCGAAATTCGTCCCATACAAAAATTGCCATCTCATTCTATAGGGCAAATCTCATATATTAGATACTTCCTAAACCTTCATATTTTTTCTTTATTTTGAAATATGATAATTTATTTTTTAAGAGGATTTTAAAAATATAGTCCTTTTTTTAATAAGCCTAAAGGTGGTGGAGTTATAAGGGGTTAAAGATGTTATAAAAACCTTAATCTAGTTAGTATAGAACTCTTATACTAAACCTAATTAAGGTTTCTATAATATCTTTAATATTTTAATAATTAGAGGGGCTATAGACCTCAGCTAAGCTTCTAAAGAAAGCTTATTCTCTATATAATTATCTATTATTACTATAGGTTAAATAAAGAATATTAAGGTAGTATAGTTATAGGTTAAAATCTCTACTATTTATATATATATAGCTATATATTATTATAGAGTTTAGGATAGGATAATTCTACTATTTTTAATTTTTATAATTCCTTTATTAGTTTTTCCTCTGCCTCTAGCCTCTATTATTAAATATCTATATCTAGAGGGATGTCTATATCTAGATAGATATCCATATCTAGATAGATGTCTATATTAAGATAGATATATAGATAGATGTCTATATCTATATATCTATATCTAGATAGATGTCTATATCTAGATGGACGTCTGTGTCTAAATAGATGTCTATATCTAGATAGACATCTATATCTAGATAGACGTCCATGTCCAGATGGACGTCCATGTCTAGATAGATATAGATACCTAGATAGATGTCTAAATAGATGTCTATGTCCAGATAGACGTCTATGTCTAGATAGATGTCCGTGTCCAGATGGACGTCCATGTCCAGATGGACGTCTATATCTAGATGAATGTCCATGTCTAGATGGACGTCTGTATCTAGATAGACGTCCATGTCTAGATGGACGTCTATATCTAGATGAATATCTATATCCAGATGGATGTCTATATCTTAATATATTTATATATCTAGGTGCGCCTAGATACAAAGTATCTATATAACATACAATTCTATATCTAATATAGATAGTTATAAGGATCCTATATATAAATAAGCCCTAAAAAGATGATAAAAAGCTATATAGTTAATATAGTCTAGATTTAATCTATAAATAAGCAACCTTTATTAATTAGTCATAATTAATTATAATTATTAAAAACTCCTCTAGGATAGAGTAGTTATTTCTATTAATATTAGTTAACCCTTTAAATTTTAAAGGTGATAAATATATACTATATTAGCTATAACTTTATTATTTAGATCTTATCTTTTAGATTTATTAGTAATTAGTCTAGAAGTAAGGGGTCTGGCATTACTATATTAGCCTTATTAATTCTTATCTAGTTATTTCCTAACTCTCTCTAGAGATTTAATAATTAATTTAATGCTTAATTTAATTATCTCTTTTATAGCTATAGTTAAATCTTCTGCTTAACAGGGTCTGCTTGTAGCTTTATTATTAGATCTTTTAGCTAAACCATTTCATGGGCATGGTGTTACTAACCCTGGGATCCCAAGTATCACTAATCAGCTTAAATAAGATTAGTGACCTAGTCTTTTAGCTATACTATAGTCCTTTAGGTATACTTCACCTAGGTAGACTATAGTCCCTAACTATATTTAGTCCTTTAATAGAATAAGTAGAGGTTAATTAAGTAAAAGGGAAGTAAGATCCTTATTTCTATATATAGAAATAAGTTTAGTAAGTCTATTTAAATTAACTAGTACTTAAGTAATTTAATTATTAGTAAGAATTATAGAGAACTAAATATATTAATAAATAAGCATCTTTATATAGTCCTTTTATTATAGCTCTAGCTATAATATCTATATAGCCCTAGCTATAATATCTATATAGCCCTAGCTATAATATCTGCATAGCCCTAGCTATAATATCTATATAGCCCTAGTTATGATATCTGTATAGCCCTAGCTATAATATTATATAACTCCTAAGTTAGCCTTATACTTCTACAATTTCTTATTAGAAGTCTCCTACTAACTATTCTACTTAGTAAGACCACTAGATGGTTAGTGCCATAATATTACTCCCCCTCTTTTAGGTCTTTATCTCTTAAAGATATAAATAGGTGCTAATTGCCC